CACTTTTGATCCGACCGACGCACAATGGCGCCCAGACAGGTCTTCCTGGTCTCTGTGCGCCAGGAGCGTGTCTTCTGTGTGATGTGGATCCTCTTTGTCAGCTCCTGTGTATTGTCATCTGTGCGATATATATAATCAAGAAAGTGTCACCGCTGACAGCACGACGACTCCGCTCATATTAAGCTTTCCTTCTCTATTATCTAAACACGCAGCAATCTCATCCGGGATTTGGTTCTGTTTGCATACCGCGGTCTGCCCTGAGCTCATTGTCGGCGAGTCGCTTAACAGAATGACTTTGTAAAGCATTAGGTTTATATATTGGGCTCAGCAGCGAGCTCTTTCCTCCGCAGCACCCGTCTTCTAATATACGTAGTATACCTCCATCCACATTGCTTTCCTTTCACAATTAAAGCCACGCTACTTTTATGAAAACTTTTTAGCTTTGCTAACGTCTCTCCTTTCTCTGTGATTTTTTTTGTTGTTGTGTTAAAGGGAATGTATAGGCCAATTTTTTAGGGGGGATTTATTTTATTGTTTCTGTTTTCATTTCCATGAATGGGAAACAAAAATGTACACTGCCTGACCCCAAAAAAAGCCATTGAAATGAATTACAAATCTCAGGGAACCCCTTGCCAGTAAAATTTTATATATATACACACACACTGAGTGGCCTGATTATTATGACCACCTGACGTTTGTAGGTAAATTAGCGATAATTTGGCGCTGAAGTTGCTAGAGGGCCAGACCATTATAAATAGGGAAGCAGGTTGTTTACCACGACAGTAGAAGTGATTTGTTTCTGAAGATACGGGGAAACAACGCGATTTAACAGCCTTTGAACGTGGGATGATTGTTGGCGCTCGGAGCCATGGAGCGAGTATCAGCAAAACAGCAGAATTCGTTAGATGTTCAAAAGCAGCTGTTGTTAAATCTATATTTTCAGGAAAAACATAACCTATCTGCTTGTCACTGCAGTACCCAGCACAAACTTTGGAACCTACCGGTCAGGAGTGCATTGTGACACATGCAAATGCTCTGTGTCTGTCTCCCAATTCTGCTCCTGCATTGGCACCCTGTTACAAATGATGGACACTACAGGTGCCCATGCCGAAACACATTATTATGACGCCAATTGTTAACCTTGTTCTGAAACCTCCTATGTTCGGCCTGATTGTATCAAATCCAATCACCAGATAGCGGATGTCACCAAAGACTTTGCATTCATGAATATTCTATTGCATGCAGGAGGGTCCAGGCAAACAAAATGATGTGGTAGATGTTTTGTTTTTGTATGGTCAAAAGGAATATTTCTCTCCTCACCTCAGCATCTGTCACAGAAAGGATAGCAGGAACCTATAATGAAGAAGGAGGAAATTGCATCATAACAAAGGGGAGGAGACAAAAAAGTGCAATAAAAACTGTGACCACAAGATGGCAGCATAACAGAGGGCAGTAAACCATGACCATGCACAGAGACTAAACACCAATGCAATTACATTGCCCATACAATTGCTGGAGGCAGCATACACCTTGTCACTATCAGGAAACCGGTGCAGAGCATTCATGTGATGCTGGAGGGAGTGTAAGTATACAGGAAATGGACCAAAGAGGCTCGAGGAGATCAGAACAAGATGTAAAAAGGTGAAAGTAGGAGTTTATGGAAGAAACAAGGCACTTTATTAGTGATACACAAAGCACAGCAAACAATTATCCAGTTGGGTTTTACATCTGCTGTAATATTGCTCTATTTTTAACGTTGACTCCGCTCTGTTATCTTGCCGCAGAGCCGGTTACAAGTCTGTTATTTCAGAGTCGGGATGTGTAATCCGTACCTGACAAGCTATTTGGTGTGACACGGTCAGGTCTCCGGTAGCTCTGTGATGTCTCTTCTAGCTCCCCAAATACCAGCATGACAACGGTGACGTCCTCTCTATTCTCTGCATCCTCAGATAAGTACAATGACTCGGCGAGGTGGGGAGACCGCGCTCTTTCATGTGCGGCATGTGCGCTGGAGATAAGCGTCCCCACTTTCTTCTCTACAAAGACCCGCCGAACGCGGCAAGCTTTCAAGTGGCGGATTTTATATAGCTGCCTGTTTGATAGCAATATTTTCATCTCGTGTTTTATCCTGCAGGGGTCCCTTTTTGTAGGTTCTGAATTTAGGATTATTGCCTCTGGGGATTTATCAGCCTGTGATTCTTCCTTTTTATGTCTCGCGTGGAATGAAGGGGATGGTCAAAGTTCCCGCATTCGGCACACTGTTTTCTGGGTAAGGAACGAGAGCGAGAGAAAAGTGAACTCATGTTTTCAGGAAAATTATGCTACCAATTAACTGGTTTTTTTTTTGCAAGCCATCTTGGCAATTTGCGTGCCGCTTTTGGTTGCTGACCCTCTGATTGTGAACTCCTGACGCTGAGTGTTTTCCATCACACAGAAGTACAAAATGATCACGCGAGTTTTGGAGTTGCTTTGACTAGGAATGCAGGTGCCGATGCCAAGTATTTGGGCGAGAAGCTGGGCAGCAAGTTATTACATGCTGCCCGGCTTCCCGATTGGCCGGGAAGCCAGCTTCATGCTCCCTCATCACGCGGGAGAATGGAGTCGGCTTCCCGGCCAACCAGGAAGCCGGGCAGCGTGCAATGACTCGCTGCTCAGCTTCCTGGTTGGTCGGGAAGCTGGAAAATGAGAAAGCCAGGCGCTGTGCAATGTCGCCGGGTTTCTGATTGTCCGGGAAGCCGCCTTCATGCTCCCTCGCCACCTCGTGACAAGGAAGCATGGAGCCCGGCTTTCCGGCCAATCAGGAAGCTGGGCACGGCGTCATTACACGACCCGGCTCCCTGATAGTCCAGAAAGCCGGCTCCATGCTTTCTCATCACCTAGTGACAAGAAGCATGGAGATGGCTTCCCTGCTAATTGGGAAGCCGGGTGGCGAGTCATTACAAATTATGACCAAGAACAAATGTGGGTCCTGAGGTTATATGGGTTGAGAACCACTGGTCTAAACCAAATAAGCTTTTGATTAGAGTTTAACTGTGTCCCCCAACCTTCACCGTGTCCCCTAACCTTAACCCTGCATGGCAGTGAGCAGATATCCTGACAGAGGGAGAGGGACCATTATAAAATGTCATCTTATAAGTGCAGACTTCATTACACCCGCACTGATGTCATGCCGTCTTCTGCAGGTAATAAATATGCATCGTCGGGCTGAAGCTTTATGCCAGTAATAAATTGTCTCTTATAGAGCATATCGCAGGGAGAGGGAAGATCTTTCACAGGAATAATATAGAATGACACAGACCTGTGCCGAGGAGGATCTGACCGCACTTTGTGTAACACTTCATTTCGCTTGTCACAACTGAGACATCGGGTACAGCCTGATCTTATGGCGGGGGGGGGCTGCTGAGGACTCTCCCAAAAACTAAGGCCATGATGATTACTGTCTGCCACGGGGTGGACTTGAATCTAAAGGGAAAATATCAAATAAAAAAGATCAGGGATTTTTATGAAAGCATTGACACAAATAAAAGAATCTGGGGGTCCTCATTCAAAATGAGTTGTAATAATTTCTGGGTCTCTGTTTCTCTATGGAATTTGGGCAGATGATGGCTGGTGGGAGGGGCCTGCAGGGTGCTGTACATAGCTTCGTACCCCTCAAGAGCCCTCAGCCCTGATGCAAGCAGTGGGCTGGCTCTTGGGAGGAGTTATGCAAATATAAAAACACCCTGATGGGTGGATGTCAGTCTGGAGGAGTGGGCGTTCCTAGGCAGACTGTATTTGCATGAAGACCGCCCTAACTAACGCCCACATGTGATGCTGAGCGTCCATGATTGACCGAACTAAAATTCAAAGAATGAATGGGGTGGTCTGGGGACAGCCAGGCTGGTGACGGAAGCGCTAGATGATGCTGGATGTCCTCCAGCCAGGAAAGCAATGCTCTATCTGACTTGCTGCAGCTTCTAATGCACATGATGAGGAGCTCACAGTGTGCAGTGATATCAGAGGAAGCCATTTCAGTTCAGGAGAGCCGGTACAACTGTCCAAGACTGAAGAGAAGTCCGGAGTTCAGCTTTAAAGGGAACCGGACCCTTAATATCAGATTTGCTTGACTTTTCCCTGCGAGTCTCCAGCCCGCCGAAGGAGAAACCAGCGCTTCCTTTCCACATCTATAACTTGCTGCAGCAATATAACACGTTCTTCCCTCCGCAGAAGCCAATTACACGGCTAAGTTGTTCCATTTCTATCCGTCTCCTTCTGCCCTTTGTGAAGAGCTTCGTTGTGACTCTTCTTCCCGGAGATAGAGCGGAATATTCCGCCTCACGTACGCAGCGCAGACTTTGCAAAGTCAGTGTGATCTCTACCGCACGCCGCAACACTTCATCAGGAGGACATTCCGGGATGTGTGCGCTCTCACCTCTGTCTGGAGGCAGACAAATAACTTTTTACCTGAAACTTTCTGTACTCCCATATGAAGCTGCTGCAGGAGCCGGCCGGAGAGGTCAGAGCATCGTTCTCCAGGCCCAAGGGGGCTACCGTGACCCAACTCTGTGCCTTCTGATGGAAATGGTACAGCTGGGTCAGGGCTCCAGCTATTGAGAGCTGAGATTCTAGGGGACATTAGAGTGTAAGCTCCTCTGGTGCAGAGACTGATGTGACTGGCTCAGTGTTCTCTGTATAGCACTGCGGTATATGTCAGCTATATAAATGTGTTCTCTTTAAAGATTATACTGTATACATGGGTTATGTGCTGCGGTGTGAGATCTCTACTCTCCCTCTATAACTGTAGGTGACTGATGATGATGATGATGTAGATATTTGTACCCGTTGCAATGTATTTTGCTGTATTGCATACTCTGATATCCCCCCTACATCTTCCCGCGTAGCGTCATGTAGATAACACGCGGAGTTGATATTTCCTCCAGTTCGGATGAAACGTTTCATGTGTAGTATGTTGTGTGACACGGGAGGACACTGATCTTGATAACTGTCATCTCTCATTTTAGGTCCTGGCAGACGATCACTTTTGACCGACAACCGACATGTTTTATCAGGATAGTCGGGACGCACAACACGGCGAATGAGGTGAGACTCACGATGACTTCTATAGCAGATCCAGGGTACGGTACATGACATGGCGATCAGCTATGACATCACTGTAAGCTATTAAAATGAGGGTCCCCGGAGTTTATCTTTAGGGCTCATTCAGGGGGTGTACATGTCCATAGGGCATGCACGCCCATATAAAGACCCAATTCCGCAATGAACAGGTGCATCGTGTAATTGCGCGCAGCAGCCTGTCTTCCCAGTAGGAGGATGCGGCTGCACGCAATTACACGCCGTCACACGCACTCTCGAACCTGTTCGGGTGTCCGCACCTGGATGCAGACAGTGTGTGTTCCAACTGTGGACACAGGACCTCATGGATATGCAGGTGCGTGTGTGCGTCTGCGTGTAATTTGCGTGCAGCAGCCTGTCTTTCCCAATGGAAGGATGCGGCTGCACGCAATTACATGCTGTCACACGCACTCTCGAACCCGTTCGGGGTCCGCACTTGGATGCAGACAGGATGCGCGGGTGTGCATGCACCTCCCATAGGGAAGAACGGTGACGCAATTACAAGCAGCACCTGTCCTGTCCAGAATCGGGTCTTTTGATGGGCCTGCACGCCGTACGGACATGTACACCCGTCTGAATGATCCCTACAGCTGGTTCCTACCTTTGCACCTGCTGGCTGATAGCGATTGATGTATAATATGTGTAATATACATCTATAGCATATTGGAATGTTATAGTAAGATTTATATGGAGTATTTCCATATTTATTGATTAAAAAAACCCACAAAAACAGAACATAAATATGAGAAATCACTAAGCGGTCCCTTCAAATGGAATTTTTATTGTTGGATCCTCCAGCATCTCATTGCGTGTGTATTTATGTAGATTAGCGTGTTACACGGCTTATTTTCTACCCTTCACTCCCGGCTGATCCATCGTCTCCCGCAGACAGTAAATCTATTGTCAGCATTGATTGCAGCTTTATCAATTTCCCTTCTGCCCGAGACGCACAATATATCAGCCTCATTATGTCCCTATTTCTTTATATCAGTAATAATTGTGATGTGTGCGATGCAATCATGGCTTTCGAGTCGAACACATAAGTAAAGAAAAACAAATCTCTTTTCCTGCAGCTCGGTCTGGAGCGCTGCGCCGAGGCATTCACACGGGCCATCCATTTTATTACGCTCTAAACAGTCTAGAAATTGCCGTCGGTAATGACTACAATCTGTATGATAATTTCCAGTCGTGGCGCAGTACATGGAGTAATTACATGAGACGTTTCTGCTGCACCCGGACCGCCGAGACTTGGCATCCCAGTGAACCAGTTACTAAAAAGTCACTGCTGCGCTCTCTCTTCTTGTGCAGTGTAACTGGTCTGTCTCCGCCCCCCCTCCTGTAGTGGGTCCCTCCCACAGCTCTGTATAGGCTATATACAGCAGAGTGACTATGTCTCCGGCTGTCTGGCGAGTGGCTGACTCGCCTTTTGTTTATAGGGTCCAGGCGCCCCGTTGGTATTGCCAGATTTCTACGTTCAAATGGAGCTTGAGCTCTCCCAAAATGGCCGCCGATTCTACATCTGCAGACATCTTTGCTGTGGGTACTCTTTTTTTTCCCCCTCTAATGACATGCTGTAGTGGACAATTAGATGACTATGGGGCGCTGAAAGAGTTCCCATAGTGATTCTAGCCTGCTCAGCTGCATTGGTACTTCCAGAGCATGGACAGGCCACAGCCACCTGAATGCAACCCCATCAGTGTTGTGGCACCATCCAGTTTCTGAGCAGGACCCCGTCGTGGTCACCTGCTTTTACTCCGCCACCCCCTCCCCAGTGTTGTAACAACACACAGTTTCAGAGCAGGGCCATGTGGTGGTCACCTGCATACAGCACCATCGGTTTCAGAGCAGGGCCCTGTAGTGGCCACCTCCATGCACCCCCACAGTTTCGCGTCACCCCCAGTTTCAGAGCAGGGCCGTGTAGTGGCCACGTCCATGCACTCCCACAGTGCTATGTCACCCTCAGGTTGCCGAGCAGGGCCATGTGGAGGTCCTCTGCATGTATCCCCCATGGTGTCACGTCAACCCCCAGTTTCAGAGCAGGGCCATGTACACTGCTTAGATTTCATCCAAGTCCTGCTGACCAGGCTGAAGTTCGAGCAGTGGGTGGCCCCATCGGCATCCCTCCATTCAACAAAAGGCGATTTTTCAATTGACTTTTGTCAGAAGAGCCGGTCCGAAAATTCTCAGCCAAATGGTG